TATTTGATGATTGTTATGCTGATTAAGTGAGATCTTAATAGGTCAGGAGCTGGGACACAGGACCTCTCTGCTAATAAACCGGGCCCATTTTGCCAGTCACTGAAAAAGAGAAAGCGTTTATTCACAAGATGGCCAGGACTGGGAGAGTAAGTCTCCAATCTGTCTGCCCGAGGACAGGGTTTGGGAGACGCATCGAGGTCCAAGGTAGGAAGAAAGGACTGGAGAAGCAATCAGTGATCTACACACGTGTAATCAGACCCTTGGCCCTGTAAGGACACATGTTCAGAAAATGGAAGTGTTAGCATGATCTAAGGGTGGAATTTGGGCCTTCTTTCATTTTTAGTGCAAAACTCCTGGCCTTGAGGGTCCCAACAGGTGGGGCTCAGTCTCTCTTCCCTAAGCCCAGTCAAGGAGACAGGCAGTGAGGAGGGGCAGGAAAGACGCTCTAATCAACATGTCCTTGGGCTGGGGATTTAGCTCAGTGGTTCCACATGCCTGGTTTGCAAGCCTAAAGTCCCGAGTTTGATCTCCAGTACAAAGAAAAAAAAAATCAACATGGCCTTGCCGGGAAGCACAGACAGAGACTCCAAATCTGTTTTAGGGAGGCTGATAGACGCTTTGGGGGGTTTATAGATGAGCGTAACAAAGGTTTACCTAGCTGAGGTCTGTACTGCTGGCAGTTTAGGTAATCCTGGCCAAATCAAGGTGTGGTTGGTTAATCAGTGGCATGGAATGGTTTTTGAGATGTTCTGGGAAAAGCCGGGCATGGTAGCATCCTCCTGTGATCCCAGCATTCTGGGAGGCTGAGCCAAGTCCAACCCCAGCCTGGGCAATTTAGTGACTCAGGGAGTGCCTGTTTCAAAATAAAAAATTAAAAGCACTGAGGATGTAGCTCAGTGTGAAGGCCCCGTGTTCAATCCCCAGTACTTGTGGGTGGGGGGAGTTGTTCTGAGAGAGCCATCTTTGCTTGAGGGGAGAAACGGCAGTTCCTGCTTTGGGGGGCAGCCGCAGGTCCCATCACAGATAACTGTCCTGTTTAGGGGGTGACCTCATCCTGAGAGGGTTTTCAAGGCTTTGCTTTTTCTGGAGTCCGAGGTGACTGCAGGTTCAGGACCATGAGTGAGGACTTCTAGACCTCACTGCGGGTGGGAGAGCTGGAACAGAACAATGTAAAAGTTGGTAATTAGATGTCACTGCAAAGCTACTTCAGTTATGCTTGTCTTGGTGTCCTCAGTCTTGAAAGATGAGACCGGATAAGAAAGGATAGGAAAATAGGGCTAATAAACCTTGTAACACAGGCACTCCCAGAGTGATTAGCATCCTACACGTAGAGCGGAGCAGAGGTCTCAGGTTCAGTCTGCTTCTAACTGGGCATTTGCAGGTCCGGCCTCTTGGTCTCTGTTGTACTCTGACGTGGAAAGGCCACTCACATGACACTCATACAAGCCCAAGTCAAGGGGTCAGGGGCTCCACATGGTATGAGCTGGATAAAAGCTTCTTCCACTTCCTGAAAAACAGCTTAGGCTGCCATCCCCACCATGACCCATAAGTCAGGTGTTATCTATAGCAAAGCTCTGGGAATCTACTAGACTGATTAGCTATGTGACCACTAAATTTTGTGCAGGGTACTGAGGATTGCACCCAGGGCCTTCACACTGTGCTACATCCCCAGCCTTTTTGTTTCTTCTTTTCTTTTTTTTTTTTTTGAGACAGGGTCTTGCTATGTAGTTCAGGCTGGCCTTGAAGTCATGGTGTTCCTCCTGCCTCAGCCTCCCAAGTGCTTGAATATGTAGGTTTGTTGATACAGGGTCTTGCCGTGTAGTTCAAGCTAGCCTTGAACTCACTCACTATGCAGGCCAGATTGGCCTCAAACTCTCGGCAGTCCTCCTGCCTTGGCCTCGGGAGTGCTGGGATTATAGGTGTGCAGCATCCTGCCTAGTAAAACTTGGTGATTTTGAAAGTGTACTAAAAGAAAGTACCTAAAAACAGGTGAGACAGGTTAAGTTTTTATTTTATTTTATTTTTTGGTATGGGGTTCAAACTCTGGACCTTGCATTTGCGAGGCAGGCATGGCACCACTGGGCTAAATCCCCAGCCCGAGACAGGTTAGGTTTGAGGGTATAATCAGATTTGTCCTCACTCTTCTCTTCATGTGGCCTTGACTTCCTCACAGCGTGGAATTTAGGGTTTGAATGAACCTCAAAAACAACTGAAAAATTTTTTGTTTTGTTTTTGAGATGGGGTTCTCGCTGTGTAGTTCAGGCTGGCCCTGAACTCCTGGTGATCCTGCTGCCTTGGCCTACCAATGAAGAAACTGAAATTTGAAGCTGCAGGTTTCTTAAGCCTTGGGTGTAGAGAATGTCATACTGTCCCTTCTGAAGGATTTTGATCAAATCCCAGACTTGATTCAGACGGAAGTGGCTTAGAGTCCAGACTTGTCAAACAATTTGGGAATCATGATTTTAATTAATTAATTAAGCAGCATTGAAATTGAACTCAGTTCCTCTGTAGTGAACTATATACCCAGTCCTTTAAATTTTTTTTTGTCTTTATTATTAGCTAAGTCATTAAATTTCCCAGGCTGGGTTCAAAGGCACCACCCTCCTGCCTCAGCCTCCCAGAGTGCTGGGATTACGGGTGTGTGCCATGTGCCCAGCTTATTTTATTTATTTATTTATTTATTTTGGATACAGGGTCTCACTATGTAGTTGAGACTGACCTAGAACTCTCAAATTTACAGAGATCCTCCTGCCTCAGCCTCCTGAGTGCTGGGATTACAGGCGTGTGCCACCATGCCCAGTCATTATTTATTTTTGAGACAGGGTCTCACTGTGTAGCTGAGACTGACCCGGAACTCATTATGTAGCCCAGGCTGGTTTTGAACTCACAGCAATCCTCCTGCCTCAGCCTCCCGAGTGCTGGGATTACAGGCATGTGCCACCACGCCCAGCCATTATTTATTTATTTTTGAGATGAAGCCTTACTACATTTCTCAGGCTGACCTTACTTCCGGGCTCAAGCAATCCTACTCACTCAGTCTCCCTAGCAGCAGGGACTAAGGCGTACACCGTCACTCCCAGCTGGCAGTCATGATTTAAAACTGGTGAGGTTTCCCCTCCCCTCAAAACACTGGTGTTTTTGTGTTTTGTTTTGTTGCTTTATGCTTTTACTGTGCTGCCCAATGAACCCCCGGTCACACATACTACATCCCCAGCTACCCATGAACATATGAACAATGAGAAAGCAAGGATTTTTTTTTTTTTGGATAGACCCCAAAATCACAGAAAACAAAAGCAAGACTAGACTGATACACACACACACACACGCACGCACACACACACACACACACACACACACACACCCCAAAATGAAACAGCAAAACTATAATTTGATTTTAAAACATCTCAGAAGAAGACATACAGGACCGGGGATTTAGGTCAGTGCTACCACTGACTGCTTCACAAGCTCAAGGTCCCGAGTTCGATCCCCGGTACCAGAAAAAAAAAAAAAAAGACATACAAATGCCCCAAAAGGTTTATGAAAAAAAGTGCTCAATACCACCAATCATCAGGGATATGCAAGTCAAAACTACAGTGACATATCACCTCACTCTAGTAAAAATAGCTATTAACAAAAAAAAATTAAAGATGCTGGACATGGTGGCACGTGCTTGTAATTCCAGCACTCAGGAGACTGAGGCAGGATCATCAATGAAAGATCAAGGCCAGTGTGGGCTACATAATGAATTCAAGACCATCCTGAAGTACATAGTGATACCCTGTCTCAAAAAAACCAAAACAATTGCCTCACAAGTGCACGGTCCCAAGTTTGATCCCTGGTACCAAACAAAGGAGAAAAAAAAAAAAAGAAAGAAAGATTAAAGGTAACAAGTGTTAGTGAGGATGAGGCAGAAATCCCCCACTGTCGGTGGGAATGTAAATTGCTGCAGACATTATGGAAAAATGGTATGGAATTTTACAAAACCAAACAATTCAGACTAGAACTACTACTTGATCCACATATCCAAAGAAAATGGATTAGTTTGCCAAAGAAACATTTGTATTCCCATATTAATTGCAGCATTATTTATAATAGCCAAGAAACAGAAACAACGAAAGTACCTATGCAATGAACCGATAAAGGAAATGTGGTTCCTCTGCACAGTGAAATACTTTGTAGCCATGAGGAGGAATGAAATCCTGCCATTTGTGACAACATGGACAGAACTGGAGATCCCTGTTGAGCGAAATAAGCCAGGCACAGAGAGACACACCCTTCATGATTTTGCACACCTGTGGGCTCTACAGAAGTCTATCTCACAGCAGGTGAGAGTAGAATGGTGGCTACCAAAGGCTTGGGGGAGGAGAGGTTAGGGGGAAGGATGGAGGAAAATTGATCAGTGCTTACTAAACTGTGGTTAGGGAGCAGCAAAAAGTTCTGTTGTGCGGTTGCACACTAAGGTGACTATAGATAACAAGAATGTACCACACATTGCAAAAAGCAGCGGGAAGAATTTTGAAAGTTTTTTCTATATGGAAACAGCAAGTGTGTGAGAAATAGTCTAGCTTGATTTAAACACTGTTTACTATGTATGGATGCATCGAAGCATTACACAGCAGATGTATATTTGTGAGGTTTTGTGTGTGGTGCTACGGATTGAACACAGGACCTCTGCACTGAGCTACATCCTCAGCCTTTATTTACTTTGGGGGGGCGGGTACCGGGGATCGAACTCAGGACCCTGCGCTTGGAAGCCTGGTGGCGGATAAGTGAGCTAAATCCCGGGCCCCTTATTTACTTTTTGAGGCAGAGTCTCCACTGGTGGCTTTCAGCTTCTTCGTAGCGTCTCCTCCACCGTGGCCCGTTGCAGAGCTAGGATGTCTAATCCCTCGAAGCAACTCCTGCCTGGGTCCGCCCAGAACTGGATGAGACTAAGCAGCGAAGGTGTATGTGGGGGGCGTTTTCCTGACTAGCGGCTGCAGCGCGGGGTGGGGGGGGGGGCGGCTAAGATTTTTGGCCCACTTAGGCCCCTGTAGCGAGGGGGCGGGGCCCAGAAGGGCTCTGGATGTCTGCGCTGGACAGCGACCCCGAGAAGGACCTGGTCCTTTTGGGACGGACCTGGAGCCTCTTGAAGAACTTGTGGACCCTGTTGGTCTGCAGAGTCTGTGGAAAACAGGTCTGGGGTCCAAGATTCGGGGCGCAAACGTACAACTCGATGCTGGGCCTTAGATCCATCCTTCTGGGCGCTGGAGCTCGGTGACTTGAGGAGCTGTGTGCTAAGCTCTGTGGGAGCTCACCTCTGGGAGAACAAAGAGACCCAGAGGGCTGGGAGATGCAAAAATGATGAAACAACTCGAGTGTCAGCTCAGGGCGGCCAAGGCAGTATCTTCCCTTGAGAAAACACCTGCTCACAGAATTGAAAGCGATAAAGAAATGAGCCATGGGCCGGGGGAATTTCACACAGAGGGAATGGCCAGCGCAAAGGGCCAGAAGTGGGGGACAGCTTATCAGATCGAGAGACAGACAGGATTGATGTGGGTGGAACAGATGTCACGGGGGAGGGGACTGATGCCAGATGATATCAGGGGACGGGCGGGGGCTAGATCTTGCTATGTAAGGAGTTTGAATCCTATACTAAGTGTAGGAGAGTCATTGGAGGGGTTGCACAGGGGAGCGTGTATATTTTTAATATTTTGTCTTCAATTTTGAGACTAGTCTGGTTGGAGATGAACAAGAGTGAAGCAGGAGGATTAGAAAAAAAAAAAAATCTGGGCCGGGGATTTAGTTCAGTGGTTCTACTGCCTGCCTCGCAAGCACAAGGACCCGGGTTTGATCCC